ACTAAAGACTTTTTCTCGTCTGTGAACCTTCCTTGGGAGATTCCAACCCCTGATGTCGACGTCAGTCTTCATTATGTTGGTAAAAAACTAGAGCAAAGTTATTTGCTTTTGTCCTTGACCAAGGAGAAACTAGCAAGTTTCTCAGACTGTACTAGTATCTTTATGGATGGCTCCAAGTCTACCAGTTTTAATTCATCAGCATTTTATATCAACAATCTCAACATCAGAAAAGCATTTAAAACTGCACCTGCTTCTGTATATAAGGCTGAACTGTTTGCTATCTTACAAGCTCTTCTGTGGCTGGAAGACTCCAAGGTTACGAAAGCTCTGATAGTCAGTGATTCTTTAAGTTCATTACTTTCGATTAAGAATGGTTCCTTTATATCTAACCCAATGTTACTGAGTGAAGTATTTATATACCTTATCCGATTATGTCGCTGTATGGTCATCAAATTTCTTTGGGTCCCTAGTCATGTAGGAATCCAGGGAAATGAGATAGTTGATCATCTTGCCAAGAATGTGTTAGCATATCATGGGGTCAAAAACGTTTCTATTGAACTTGGTGACCTCTATGGCCAAGTTTATCAATTCCTTTTAGATTCCTGGCAGTGTAGATAGAATTCCGTGCAACATTCCAATATCTACAAGAAAATCGTTCCTGTTGTTTCTTCTCACATCAAGTATGAATGTACGAACAGACACCAAGAAGTTATTATTACACGCCTCCGGTTTAACTGCACAGGTCTAAATGGACATCTGTACAAAATAAAAGTACACCCAAATGGTGAATGCAGCCATTGTTCAAATTTTGAAGACCCAGAACACGCTTTCATGGAATGTATATATTACCAAAGAGATTGAGCAGCCATAAAACAACAGATGGGTAACATAAAAGTCCCTTTTACCTACCTCTCTCTATTAACTACGAATTGTCTCTATCCCGAAATATGTAACTTCGTTATAACAAATAACATAAAAATTTAATTTCCTTTTCTTTTTACTAATAGGGCTACTTCTTTTATCCTTGTCTCCAATGGCTGTAGTCTCCCCCAGTCGAGAAGAACTAACTATGTAAACTTTTTTTCCTTGTGTATTATCCCAATAACATGACCTTGTAGGATTTTTAGTGTAACACAATTAACTACAACAACAATAACAACAAAAAAGTATAATAAGAAAATAAAAAATAAAAAAATGGGAAAAAATATATGTATGTAAATGTGATTATTAACTTCTCCTTAATGCTAAATGGCAGAGTGACGAATGTATCTAGTTCAACTAGATCAAATCGGTGAAATTGTGGGCATATAATCTGCTGATGGCGCTCCCATAACTGGCAAAAAAAATACTCTAGTCCCTTATAGTGATGGCACGCAACTGGACACGCATTCGGCATGTAATGCTGTTTGAATACAAAAAAGGGAAACGACGCCTATGTAACCACAAAGAATAACAAAGACGTTTATGGAAATGTTTTGAACGTTCGTAAGTGTCAATGATGGTTCACCAAATTTCGTTCAGGTGATTTTAGCTTTAAAAACTGTGAAAACAGGGGCCGACATGTTGGAATTGATACTGATACTCTGAAGACGCTTGTTGAGTCTAATCCAAAGCAACACACTCATGAGATGTCCCTGAAATTGTATGTCTCTCATGAAACAATACGTGAACATCTAAGATGTTTGGGTGCCTCACGAACTCTCCAATGAACATCGTTTCCAACGAGTGAACGTTGCTTT